TAGAAGCTCTTTTATGTCCTAATACTTCTAAGTATTGTTACAATGAGATAGCAAATTTATCTTTCCATTTACTCTTTCAATCCTACAAATAACCTTTATGAAACACCTAGTATTTTCCAAATATTGTACTGGGAAGTAATGGGAATCACCCCTCCACCCCCTCGCCAACACACACACACACACACACACACACACACACACACACGAACACACAGAGTTACTTGCAAATTTACAAATATTGGTCCCAGCTCAGATTCTGCCAGATTCAAGAAAAAGATTCAGTTGGCCCCCAAAGAAAGTTTAAGAGAAATTCAAAGAGAAACTCAGTGTTATTTTTTAATATTTTGTGTAGCTTTCTTGGATATGAAAAACAGGAGAAGGAAATGCCTCAACTCTAGGTTTCTTTGAAGGGCTGAATCATAAACCAGATCTACAGGTATGGTTGCTGGGCTGGTGTACCAGTTATCGCTATAAAAGGAGAAGACTGGCTGGAAGGAAATGCCAGTCTTCGACCCTGCCCCAGCCTCCCTCCTACACAAAGCACAACCTCTGAGTATGCTTGAGAACATCTCCGTTTTGCTTTGACTGAAGCCCCTCTCTGTCCCATTGAGCCTCATAAGGAGAAAGAAGCAGTATTTTGCAACCACTTTTGTTTTTTCTGTTTATTTTGCTAAGACTTTTAAACCTGTCAGCAAAGTGGTTTCCAGTCTAGTCTCTGTGGTAATAATCTCCCTTTCTAAGAGATAAGCACCCCGAGTGGAACAGACTGGAAGTCAAACTGAAAAGTTGCTGAGTACACAGCACTTTTTGAAGATGCCACATGGCTTGGGCTTTATTAGCTTCGGGGGGAAGGGTCTGGCTTGAAGGTTTCTAAACTGATTTAGAAACTACTAGAAACCTATAGGAAAACACCAAAGCACTCACCTGTGCTTGAGGCAGACTCACACTTCTCGTAGTAGAAGTGCTGAGGAGCCAAGGTGTGCAGGGAGGTTTTTTGGGGAGCTGGAGAGAGACTCTTTCTGGAAAGCCTGGACTTTACCAAAAGTTCCAAGTCCTGAGATACAAACCAACCTTCCACCTGTAGGACAGGACGTGGAACAAAATAAGACACTCAGATGAGAAATACCACATTTTATTTTTCTTTCTTTTCTACTTTGGGGGGGGTCTTTTTTAAGACAGGGTCTCCCTGTAGCAACAGCTGGCCTGAAACTCACTATGTAGACTAGGCTGACTTCAAACTCACAGAGATTCACCTGCCTCTACCTCCCAAGTGCTGAGATTAAAGGTGTGTGCCACCATGCCCAGGAATTTTCTTATTTTGTAAGAGAAAAAAAGCTCTAACTCCCTAAGCTCCTAAGCTGCTTTTCTCTAGGATAGGAAATAATATTCTTGCCCATTAGTAAAATACCATTAAGGAAGAACCAAAAGTCTCTTTGGCAGAGATCTTGGTCAACCTGAGGCCTGTTCAGAAGCCATCATATTTGTCTTTTGTTTACTGATATAGTCTTGATTTTATTCACATGCAGGGAAGCAATATGCAGAGAAGGTAGGCCCTTCCCCATGCTCAAATGACCAGTCTAAGCCTTAAGTAGCCAGTGTCTCATTTACTGGTAGAATGGTCACGTGACAGTGGATTGGACTATACTGGGCTGGAGTAGGTGCTTGTATGGAAAATCCCTCCCTAATTAAATCAAAGGTATGTGAAGCAAAATTCTATTTCTGCCTGCCTTTGAACATGTCCATAGGAGATGTATGTTGTGCTTAGATCAAAGAAGCAGCCATCTTGATCCCATGACCAGGAGGTAGAGTGCGTCACCAAGCATCCCCTTGACGTCACTGTATTGTATAGAATGACAGCATGTTGTTCAAGACTGTTTGAATTCAGCATCCTATTACTCATGAGCTGAAAGCATCCCGTATTATCTAAGCTGTGAAGCCCTGAACACTGGGGACAGCCCTCTGGTCTGCTCTCTGCACTGATCACTGCTGATTATGTTTGAGCCATTATTTCTGCTTGCACAGAAGTGTCTCACTGTCTTGGTACCAAAAGTGGACAAAATGGGAACAGACCTTTACTGCAGAAAGCTTAATGTTTGATGTCTCCCAGTAGCACACACTTTCCCTGTCACCATCCTATGCTGCCTTCAGGAGCCTTCAGGGAGGCTCCAAGCAGCAATATTTTGGCCTGCAAGCCAGGCTCTGAACACTGTGCTAGCTCTTCCTCAAGCATCACTAACAGGTCACTTTGGTAGCTGGATTCTTTCTTTCCAATTCGTTGCTCACAGTCCTAAGGCAGTGGGTGGCTGGGCTTTCAAATGATGTCTGGAAATTGGAAGCCAAATTTTATTTAATAACTGTCTAGACAAATACTCAGTTTACCTTTCTATATTTTATTACTTTTTATTTTATGTGTATGAGCGTAGTGCCTACATGTATGTAAGTCACCCAGGTCATGCAATGCCTGAAGAGGTCAGAAGAAGGTATTGGATCCCCTGGAACTGGAGTTACAGACGGTTGTTAGCTGCCATTTAGGTGCTGGCATTTGAACTCGGGTCCTCTGGAAGAGCAGCCAGTGCTCTTAACCGCTGAGCCATCTCTCCAGCCCCCTCAGTTCACCTTTCTACTTCCTCTACCTATCCCACTCCATTCAGGCTCCATATGGTCATCACGAATCTTTTATGCTGATGAGTTTTTCAGTCTTTCCCTCCTATCATAAGACATCTGCCCTTGGAAGACTCTCCAAGTGGACAATGACTTTAAAAAGAAAAATGGACAGAGTGTCTATTTACTTTGAAATAACTAGCCTAAAGCTGATGATATACAGACCAAGATAGCTGGAGCAATGCTGCTGTGCAGGTTTTTGTTCATGTTATATCCTGGCAGATCATTGCCCACTGAGACAATTTCTGTTTTATCAGAATGGTCATTGTATAGAACCACAGTTGTCAGAGACGACAATCCTAATACCTACTGAAGGGCTTTCTTTTTGGTTTTTTTTCTCCGTACTTGTAGAACCTAGCTTCTGTTCTATTTTCTTCATCCTGGGATGGGTAAGGAGAATCTGCTCACCCTTACTCAGCCAGTCCCAGGGCTCCTGAGGCCAGTAGTTCAGGAGACCACTCAGATACACTGCTCTGGACTTAGAGTCAGGCATTCCATCCCCTCAAAAGTAGCCTCTACCTTCTCAGCATTGCAAGCAGCCTTGAAAGAAAACAAAACAAAAAAACAGGCTTAAAGTAGTTCAGACAGAAGTTTTGCCAAACCACTCAGTAAAAATGTTTGGATTTGCATTTTGTTGATCCTAGAATGTGAAACATTAAGTGAAGGCTCAAAAACAAACCTGAAATCACTCTGAGACAGTTGTTATAACTCCTGAATATTGTGGGAACCACGAAGGGCTGGTGTTTTGGAGAACAGCAGCTTCCTAAGAGCTGTGTTGGGTTTCTCTGCTTCTCCTAGCGTCTCCCAGGCCTGGCCCCTGGGAGCTCCTCTATGCAAATGAACAGGCTGCCTTATCTGGTCCACACAAGTTCCCCTTTCCAGTGAAAACCACTCTGAAATTGGTTACAGACAAGGGACTGGATTAGAGGCCCTGGCCAGGGCTAGCACCTCTAAGTAAACAGAAGGGGTCACATGATTTATCGGGTGATGAGTGTTTGCTGGAAGGCATGTGGTGTGAGGTTACTCTCCAGTCAAAGGGAGAGAGAGAAAAAAAAAGAAAACAAAAAACCTCCCACTTGCTTTTGTTTTTGCCAGAGCCACCCCTCCCCTCCTGTGTGAACAGTCCTCCATGGGCTCCATGGGCTCCACAGTGCCTGTGGGGAGAGAGCAGAGCTGGTGGTTGGTGGCGGGGCTGAGCTAGAGAGGCAGGCTGGGAATTCAGGGATCTGTCGGCAGGCAACTCTCTCCTGGAAGAGGCTTCTCTTCCCCAAAGTCCTTTCGGATGTTCCTGTTTCACAGGGCCTTTCCCTTGACTGGGTTTTCTACTGCCGATACCCCGAAACATTTGCTTGATGTTTGAGGATAAATCCTTTACTTGAAAAGAGAACCCACTTTTCCCGAGGCTCTTAGAGGTAGATGGGGCAGAAACAGAAGGCCATACTTGCACACTAAACAAAAGAGAGTGAGGAATGGGCTGCTCCGTCTCAGGCCTGTAGAATGACCAGAAGATTCTCTGCTGATCACTCCAGTTGTCTAGTGTTTTTAGCTCATTACTGGATTTCTAGAATTTAACATATTTCTGAATATCCACTCTCAGGGATGTTCAACCACCACAGTTGATAAAGTTCACCATAAAATTCTTATCTTCCTTACTATAGACTGAAATTCCTTGAGCAGTAAAATAACTTCAGCAAATCAAGGAGAACACCAACAGCTTAATCTATGAAGGGACAAAAGCTAGGCAGGATGTGCAGTCCACAGAAAAAGAAATGAAAATGGCCCCTGAGCATACCGAATGACGAATGATGCTCAACTTCTGTTAAGCCAAGTTAAAGCTATTTTGACAAGATAGCTGCTTTCCCTCACAAGAGAAATGCAAAAGCTACATGAACTAGAGGGAAGCGCTAAGTGGAGCTTCTGGGCCACAGTCCCGCCCTGGTTTGAACTGGGTGTTGCCCATACAGTGTATTTAATTGGTGAAGATCTATTCAACTATATGCAGATGAAATCTTTCTATCATAATTATTTAACAAGTATATTGAAATTCCATTTTTTCTAATAATAGTGGCACAGATTAAAAATGGCAACATACTGTATTACAAAGGATAGAATGCAGCAGTCATATCAACTAGAATATGAATGGTCAGTTTCCGTAGAGGGTAAATGGGCGCTTCTTATCAGCCCTAGAAGTGCAGATACTCTTTGGCCCAGGGATTCCACTTTTTAAACAAATCCTACTCACATTTGCACAATGATACAAGTACAATGCCATTGTCTGCAGTAGCATTATTAATACCAAAGGATTAGATTGAACTAAGATACTCATCAAAAAAAAAGTTGGCAATGATGCAACTTGTGTCTTACACTCTCTTCAGTGACGTTGCCTGCTGTCATTAAAACTGGTTCAGAAGACTGACAAAAATTGTCACTGAGCAAGGCATAACCTTTTCTTAGCACCCCAAATCTGAGAGATACTATTCTTTTTTAAAAAAATTATTTATTTAATATCCACATACTTAGAAGCATTTCAATACAACAGCAGTGACATATTCAATAACAATTTCCAGAGCTAAGATGCATCTCTTTCAAAATTGGCTGTAAATTTTTAGGTTTATAGTTGAATTATTACAGTTATAAATATTGTATTCAGTATAAACCCTATAAGACATAAAATTAAATGAAATTATAACCTTTAAAAAAGATGTCCATTTCATTATTAAAATATACAGTTTCGTACAGAAAAATTAATTTTTAATCAATTGACATTAAGAAGTTTGCACATGCATCTCTAATCTCTATATATCTGATTATTACTAGTCACAGTCGGTTACTTTCTGAGCTCCTTGGCATCTGAGCATGGATATAAAGTCATCAGGCAAATTTCAGTGGTAATGTTTTTCACATATACTAATTATTAAGGAGCAAATTTTTATGCTTTGAAGAATTATTTTTTAATCATTATTTTTTAAAATATTTAATAACTACACAATTAGAAGAAGCATTTCGCTACAGCTTTAACATATTCAGTAACATGCTCCACAGCAAGAGTACATCTCTTTTGCAAGTGGGTGCAAGTTTCTAGGTTCACAGTTGAATTAATACTGTTTTACAATATTGAACTCAGTATAAGCCCCGTATGACATAAAATTGAGTTTTTAACCTTTAAAAAAGATCTCCATTTCATTTTAGAATATATTGTTCCTTGAAGAAAGACTCGTATGTATCTGATTATTACTAGTCATAATGGGTTGTACTTGGATCCTTGGCGTCTGTGTATGTCTATAAAGTCATCAGGTAGATTTCAATGGTAATGTTTATCACCTCTATTAATTAGCATAACGTAAATTTCCATGCTTCCTCTTCAAATTTAAAACATTTTTTAAAATTTGTTGATTTTTTGTGTGTGCATGTGTATGTATCACACAGAATGTCCCAAACCATCTTATTCAACTATACACTCACTTCCCAGATGGCACCCTCCCAGAGCCTCCCTCCCCCCACTATAGCCCTTATACTCTAATATCCCTGTTACTGTCTGCTATGTTGTTGGTACCCCACAGCCATTCCCTACTTGCCCTTCTGGTGGATCTAGTCAGCCTATCTAGAGGTCTTTGTTTTAGGATGGTCAGCTCTTCCTCATCTAGCATCAATCAGTTGTCAATATTCCTTTAGATAAGATTGGGATCTCCTGTTCATTTTCCCAGTTCTATATTGGGTTACTATCTGGGAGTCCCTTTGGCCACCCTGGCCAACAACTCAAAAGACGGTATCTCCTGTCTGGCACTGTTTCTTGTTA